CAAAGGGATGGGTGGTGTGACTAAGAGATGGTTGGTGTGACTAAAGGATTGTTGGTGGGTCTGAGGAATGGTTGGTGTGACTGATGCATGGTTGTTGTGACTGAGGGATGGTTGGTATGACTGAGGGATGGGTGGTGTGTCTAAGCTACCGAGGGTGTGACTGAGGGATTGTTGGTGTGACTGAGGGACGGTTGGTCTGACTGAGGGATGGTTGGTGTGACTGATCAATGGTTGGTGTGACTGAGGGATGGTTGGTATGGCTGAGGGATGGTTGGTGTGACTGAGGGATGGTTGGTATGGCTGAGGGATGGGTGGTGTGGCTAAGGTATTGAGGTTGTGACTGAGGGATGGTTGGTGTGACTAAGGGATTTTTGGTGTGACTGAGGGATGGGTGGTGTGACTGAGGGATGGTTGGGGTGACTGAGGGGTGGGTGGTGTGGCTAAGGGATGGTTGGTGTGACTGAGAGATGGTTGGTGTGACTGAGGGATGGGTGGTGACTAAACGATTGTTGGTGGGACTGAGGGATGGTTGGTGTTTCTGAGGGATGGTGGTGTGTGAGACTGAGGATGGTTGGTGTTTAGGGATGGTTGGTGTGACTGAGGGGATGGAGGGTGTCACAAAAGGATTGGTGGTGTGACAAAGGTACTGAGTGTGTGATTGAAACATGGTTGGTGTGACTGAGGGATGGTTGGTGTGACAGATGCATGGTTGGTGTGACTGAGGGATGGTTGGCATGACTGGGGGGTGGTGTCTACTGAGGATGTGACTGAGGGATTGTTGGTGTGACTGAGGGATGGTTGGTGTGACTGAGGATGGTTGGTGTGACTGATGCATGGTTGGTGTGACTGAGGGATGGATTGGTATAGCTGAGGATGGGTGGCATGGCTAAGGCATTGAGGGTGTGACTGGAGGGATGGTTGGTGTGACTAAGGATTTTTGGGTACTGAGGGATGGGGGTGTGACTGACGGATGGGTGGTGTGACTGAGAGATGGTCGGTGTGACTGATCCATGGGTGGTGTGACTGAGCGATGGTTGGTGTGACTGGGGATGGATCTGATCCATGGGTGGTGTGACTGAGCGATGGTTGGTGTGACTGGGGATGGTTGGTGTGACTGAGGGATGGTTGTGACTGATCCATGGGTGGTGTGACTGAGCGATGGTTGGCGTGACTGGGGGATGGTTGGTGTGACTGAGGGATGGTTGGTGTGACTGAGATTTGGTGTGACTGATCCATGGGTGGTGTGACTGAGCGAGTAGTTGGTGGACTGGGGGATGGTTGGTGTGACTGGGGGTGGGTGTGACTGGGGTGGACTGAGGGGTGGGTGGTGTGACTGAGGGGTGGGTGGTGTGACTAAGGATGGTTGGTGGGACTGAGAGATGGTTGGTGTGACTGAGGGATGGGTGGTGTGACTAAGAGATGGTTTGTGTGACTAAACGATTGTTGGTGGGACTGAGGGATGGTTGGTGTTTCTGAGGATGGTTGGTGGGACTGAGGGATGGTTGGTGTGAGATGGTTGGTGTGATGATTGTTGTGACTGAGGATGGTTTGGTATGACTGAGGGATGGGTGGTGTGAATAAGCACCGAGGGTGTGACAGAGGATTGTTGGTGTGACTGAGGGATTGTTGGTGACATGCATGGTTGGTGTGACTGAGGGATGGTTGGCATGACTGAGGATCGGTGGTGTGTCTAAGCTACTGAGGTGTGACTGAGGGATGGTTGTGCACTGAGGGATGGTTGGTGTGACTGATGCATGGGTGGTGTGACTGAGGGATGGTTGGTGTGACTGGGGGATGGTGGGTGTGACTGAGGATGGTTGGTGTGACTGAGGGATGGTTGGTGTTTTGGTGGTTGGCTAAGGGGTGGGTGGTGTTTCTGAGGGATGGTTGGTGTGACTGAGGGATGGAGGGTGTCACACAAGGTTGGTGGTGTGACTAAGGTGCAGGTGTGTTGAAACATGGTTGGTGGGACTGAGGGATGGTTGGTGTACTGATGCATGGTTGTGACTGAGGATGGATTTGGTATGACTGAGGGATGGGGTGGTGTGTCTAAGCTACCGAGGGTGTGACTGAGGGATTGTTGGTGTGACTGAAGGATGGTTGGTGTGACTGAGGGATGGTTGGTGTGATTGATGCATGGTTGGTGTGACTGAGGGATGGTTGGTATGGCTGAGGGATGGGTGGTGTGGCTATGGTATTGAGGGTGTGACTGAGGGATGGTTGGTTTGACTAAGGGATTTTTGGTGTGACTGAGGGGTGGGTGGTGTGACTAAGGTACTGAGGGTGTGACTGATGCAGGATTGGCGTGACTACGGCATGGCTGGTGTGACTAAGGTACTGAGGGTGTGACTGATGCATGGTTGGCGTGACTACGGCATGGGTGTGTGACTAGGGTACTGAGGGTGTGACTGATGCATGTGTGGCGTGACTATGGTACTGAAGGTGTGTCGGATGCATGAGTGCTGTCACTAAGGTACTGAGGGTGTGACTAACACATGGGCGGTGTGACTAAAGTACTGAGGGTGTGGCTGATGCGTGAGTGGTGTGACTAAGGTACTGAGGGTGTGACTTATGCATGGGTGATGTAGCTAATGTATTGGGGGTGTGACTGATGCATGGGTGGTGTGACTGAGGGATGGTTGGTGTGACTGAGGGATGGGTGGTGTGACTGGGGGATGGGTGGTGTGACTAAGATATTGAGGGTGTGACTGAAGTATGGCTGGTATGACCACGGCAAGCGTGGTGTGACTGAGGGATGGGTGGTGTGACTGCGAGATGGTTGGTGTGACTGATGCATGGGTGGTGTGACTGAGGGATGGTTGGTGTGACTGGGGATGGTTTGTGTGACTGAGTGGGAGGATGGTTGGTGTGACTGAGGGATGGTTGGTGTGACTGAGGGATGGTTGGTGTGACTGAGGGGTGGGTGGTGTAAGTGGGTGGGTGGTGTGACTGAAGGGTGGGTGGTGTGACTAAGGGATGGTTGGTGTGACTGAGGGATGGTTGGTGTGACTGAGGGATGGGTGGTGTGACTAAGATACTGAGGGTGTGACTGATGCATTGGTGGTGTGAATACGGCATGGGTGGTGTGACTAAGAGATGGATGGTATGTTTGAGGGATGGGTGGTGTGACTAAGATATAGAGGGTGTGACTGATGCATGGGTGGTGTGAGTACGGCATGGGTGGTGTGACTACGGCATGGGCGGTGTGACTGATGCATGGGTGGTGTGACTACGGCATGGGTGGTGTGACTTAGATACTGAGGGAGTGACCGAAGGATGGGTGGTATGACTACGGCATGGGTGGTGTGACTAAGAGATGGATGGTATGGTTGAGGGAAGGGTGGTGTTACTGAGGGATGGGTGGTGTGACTAAGGCATTGGTGCAGGTGTGACTAAGAGATGGACGGTATGGTTGAGGTATGGGTGGTGTGACTAAGATACTGAGGGTGTGACTGAAGAATGGTTGGTGTGGCTGAGGGATGGTTGGTGTGACTAAGGTACTGAGGGTGTGACTGAAGAATGGTTGGTGTGACTGAGGGATGGGTGGTGTGACTGAGCTACTGAGTGTGTGACTGATGCATGGTGGGTGTGACCAAAACATGGTTGGTGTGACTGAGGGATGGGTGGTGTGACCAAGGTACTGAGGGTGTGACTAAGGGCTGGTTGGTGTGACTAAAGCATGGGTGAGGTGACTAAGGTACTGAGGGTGTGACTGATGCATGAAGGGTGTGACCAAAACATCGTTGGTGTGACTGAGGGATGGGTGGTGTGACTAAGCTACTGAGTGTGTGACTGAGGGATGGGTGGTGTGACTAAAGCATGGGTGGTGTGACTACGGCATGGGTGGTGTGACTAAGAGATGGATGGTATGGTTGAGGGAAAGGTGGTGTGACTGAGGGACGAGTGGTGTGACTAAGATACTGAGGGTGTGACTGAAGGATGGGTGGTGTGACTACGGCATGGGTGGTGTGAATAAGAGATGGATGGTATGGTTGAGGGAAGGGTGGTGTGACTGAGGGACGGGTGGTGTGACTAAGATACTGAGGGTGTGACTGATGGATGGGTGGTGTGACTACGGCATGGGTGGTGTGACTAAGAGATGGATGGTATGGTTGAGGGAAGGGTGATGTGACTGAAAGATGGATGGTATGGTTGAGGGAATGGTGGTGTTTTGCATAACCTGCATCTTACCCTTCAATTACTTTGTATGGCTACTACTATATACCATAATGAACAAAAATAATCGAAATGACATTGAATGCAAGCCGATAAAAGAATATTTTTTTTAATGTTTCGGGTGTGCTTGTAGACGAATTTGAGTTTAATAGCACTTTGAAAGAGTTATTTTGAAAGTTGATGCTGCTTCCCCTCTCTTAAAATTAGCTTACTTTCATATTTACATAACAGTTTGTATGAGGGGAAAAAATTCTCGAGTTTTTTCAACCAAGTCGCAAGTAAATTCAAGTTGCAAGTAAAGAAGAGACAAATCTCGTGTCATGCCGCAATACATCCGAGTCCAAAGCCGGACTCAAATTCGAGCAGCAGACTCGAGTTCCCATCGTTGGTGCTAAGCTTAAATGAATATTAATGAATGTAAATGTACGAAGTTTTATGTAAGACGACACATCAATAAACGTGATTTTACATAGAATAAAGGCAAAGAAATATATGTCGTAATATATATTTAAGACATTAATGACAATAAAGTTTCTGTGGTAGGAATCAATAGGTGCTAAAGTACTATATTAATTGTATATAAGTACACTGTGTCTATTACAATACGTCGAACTTGTCATGGAATCCTGTCGATTGGATTGCTTTCTCCACCGATGCTCAATTGTTTTCTATTTCATATTGAAATGATTGGATCCACTGCCCTTTCTAAGGGAAAAAGCGTGTGTTTTAATGTTACCTGATATTACATAAAATTACTTTTTGAAAAGCTTCGCCTATGAATATATTTAAAAAACATTTGCATTTGAATATGACTTAAATCCTACCTCTGTTGCTCAGGTCACGTGCAGTTTCAAGCCCAATGCCAATATTACAGCCAGTGATGACAACAACATGTCCATCCAACCGTCGAGTAGAAGTACATATCCCACCAGCCAGGGCGCGGCGGACCAGCAGGATGATGGCCGTGTGGGTCAGCATACAGGAGAGGCTGTGATCCGTGAGTATATCAACAAAATACACTGAAAAGAAACAAATATATTTGAGACGAATACCTAATGAGAGTACTGTACACAGTGTCGCGGGGTAGAATCTGATATACTATAGGACTAGGTGTGTGTGTGTGTGTGTGCGTGTGTGTGTGTGTGTGTGTATCTGCTCTGGGCAGCCGAAACGGCACAATCGTTTTTCATCAAACTTGGTGGAAAAATCGCAAAAAATTCGTACAGTGGAACAAACATTGGTCCCATATCGATGGTTTCTTTAGGAAGCCATTACGTAACCATTTTATTTACGCTGGAAAACGATGCAAGTGTAAGGACTTCGCGCACCCTCATTCGCTGGACGCTGTCAGCCCACGATTGCAGTTGATTGCAGTTATCGTATGGCTCCCTCCTCCTCCCCCCACTTTTTTTCTTAATCTACTTTTTTTAATGTTGTTTGCCTTAGTAAAGGAAGGAACACGAGTAAATAGAAGAATAAAGAAGGGAAACAAAAAATAGTTAGAGATAACAGGTGGGGGGGGAGCTGAGTTTCATCATGCGTCTGGATGCACAGTTTCAACGTTACCAGACGACCTTACAGCTACAGTGCTACAGTGTATACTTATTCATGTGGGTGGAAAAGGAGAAGAGATAAAAAGATAATAACAGGAATGTATGGAGAAGATGACTACAATAGACACAGGGTGAATACAGACAGTGAAACAGACAGGAGGTTGACAAATATAGACAGATTCATACATGCACAAATAGACAATATGGCAACTAGCAGGACAGACAGACAGCTGACTGACTGGTTCACATGATGACTATGATGACTTAACACAGGTGATGACTTAAGCAGTTGGTGACTAATCCAACCAGAATCAAGGTCACTTCTCTTCATAATATAATTTATCTCGGAATGATCATCTGTGATACATAATTTTATTTATGATTTTAACCTCTCCTTATGGCGAATATTTCTTTAACTAAATATTCTAACCTTTATTTTATTCCATCTTATAGTATATTAGATACTGTAAGTATCACGACCACGACCATGATTATAACAACCACGACCATGATTAAAACTACCACGACCATGATTATAACATCCACGACCATGATTATAACAACCACGACCATGATTATAACAACCACGACCATGATTAAAACTACCACGACCATGATTATAACATCCACGACCATGATTATAACATCCACGACTATGATTATAACAACCACGACCATGAATATAACAACGACGACCATGATTATAACAACCACAACCATGATTATAACAACCACGACCATGATTATAACAACCACAACCATGATTATAACAACCACGACCATGATTATAACAACCACGGCCATGATTATAACAACCACGACCATGATTATAACAACAACGAATATGATTATAACAACAACGAATATGATTATAATACTCACGACTATGCTTATAACAACCAAGACCATGATTATAACAACCACGACTATGATTATAACAACCACGACCATGATTATAACAACCAAGTCAATGATTATAACAACCACGACCATGATTATAACAACCACGACTATGATTATAACAACCCCGACCATGAATATAACAACCACGACCATGATTATAACAACCATAACCATGATTATAACAACCACAACCATGATTATAACAACCACAACCATGATTATAACAACCAAGACCATGAACATAACAACCACGACTATGATTATAACAACCACGACCATGAACATAACAACCACGACCATGATTAAACAACCAAGACCCAAATTATAACAACCACGACCATGATTCTAACAACCACGACCAAGAACATAACAACCACGACCATGATTATAACACTCACGACCATGATTATAACATACACGACTATGATGATAACCACGACTATGATTATAACAACCACGAATATGATTATAACAACCACGACCATGATTATAACATTCACGACCATGATTATAACACTCACGACCATGATTATAACATACACGACTATGATGATAACCACGACTATGATTATAACAACCACGAATATGATTATAACAACCACGACCATGATTATAACATTCACGACCATGATTATAACAACCACGACAATGATTATAACAACCACGACTATGATCATAACCACGACTATGATTATAACAACCACGACCATGATTACAACAACCACGACCATGATTATAACAACCACGACCATGATTATAACAACCACGACCATGATTATAACAACCACGACCATTTGGAAAACGATGTCGCTGTACGCTGGATGGTGGTTGCGCGCTAGCCAAGCACGAGCGTTCGAACTTTCTTGCCTTGGTAAACTGCACCACCGGACTTGCCCTTTGGCATGAAGGGCCCACGATCACTTGTTCATTATAACTATACGTAATATTAAGATTTACATAAATACACACAAATAAGAAAAGTTATACAATGTTAAAGGAATCACTGTAAAAATGAGAAAATAGATAAAAACTGAGATTGTCTTCAATTGGAGCAGTGCGCGTAGCACTTAGAAAAATCACTCGCCAGGAAAGTGTCGTGTCTTAGTATAAAGAATCACTAGAAAAGTACACAGGTAGGACACACAATTGTTACACTAAGTCGTATTTAAGGCTGGTACGTCCTTAGACCTAAGAGAAATACACGTAGGTGACTTAGAATAAGTTAACTGGGCCGTGATGTGACTGGAGTTGCGCCGGAGAGCAACCATCACAGGTTGACACATTGAGGAAAGTAGATGGAGTAAGCTGGAAGTATGGAGTGGATTCAAGTGCGTCCCGAGAATTAATATAGTTTTTTTTTTAAGATTTGTAGGAATATTACCTACACGGACCTTAAGCTAAAATGCTGGTCTGCCCACTGCTGGGATAAAACACCAGCATCTTTTTAATTTACCAGGGTTGGTGGAATGGAGTCATATGGTCTCTGCTCAATGCATCCTCCATGAAATGTATTGCTGAAGTGTGACTTGTGCTGAAGCATGTCCCGTCATATCATCCCAGCGGCCTTGGCCAGATGGATATCGTCACCATATTTGCTTGCTTGTGCCAGGATTGAGCCAACATCCTTCTCAAAGGCCAGTAGGATATCTCTTCCTTGGTGATGAGTTTGCAGCTGGGGGATGTGAAAAAGCAGCTGGTCCTTCAGTCGAGTAGCATGAACATCAGGCGATCCAACACCCAGCTCCTCAAGTCTCTGTCTGTAGAATGTGACCAGGTCAGCAAGTTTGAAAATGGGTGGTTCAGTACCTTCCCTAGAAGCTTTCAGCCCAGTGATGTAAGTGACCAGTCCTTGTTCGGATGAAATTCTTGTGCTTCTTCTTGCTCATAAGAACATAAGAACATAAGGAGTCTCTGACGTTTGTCTTGAATACCCACAAATGTTCTATACTACTGAAGGTATAAACAAACACTTGTTATCTTAAAAGTAGGTTCTATTCTCGTAGGGGAGATATATATACAGAGGGGACCCAGAAGCTCGCGTCCGCACCACAAGGACTCTGTCTTCACTCTCTCTCTATCTATGTATTACTGCGCGCTGGCCTGTACAGATGCCAGCATTCACAAGCTGAATACATAAAGTATAAATATGATAATTTATATACATAATATGGTGCACAATAAATGGGAATATTACATAGAATTAATACATGTTCTGTAATACTTTACTATACATAATTAATGGAGTAATATAAGAGTAATATAATAATACACAGCTTAAGGTACTACTTCGTGTCCATATCATACACCTCCCTCCCCCCTATACGCTCATAGTTTCATCTTGAGCAAACCTTTTGTTTCTGAGTCGCTCAGACCTGCGGAGTACTGGGGCAGAAACACAAGGTGGGGATGGATTTACTTTAGAGACATCAACATTAGGGGACTCAACTGGGGAAGGGTCAACACTAGGCAGCTCCACAGGTCGGAGGAAACGACAGTTCCTCCACCATACTCTACCACTAGGAAGACGCACTTGGTAGTCCCTGGACCGGCCAATACCCATAACAACCCCAACCTTGTCCCAGCGGTGAGATACCGGATCTTGAATCCTGATCTGCTGGCCGATACTCAACCTGGGAAGGGGGCGGGCATGACAATCGTACCGAGCAGCGACATCTGCGGCTCGTTCTGCTGCACGGCGGTCACATTCCTCAGTCTTGGCCTGCCACTCTTGAGAAAAAGACTTCGGGTGGGCAGGAACACAAGACCTGAGATGATGTCCGAAAAGAACCTGGGCTGGGGAGCGTCCGGTGAAGTTCGGGGTGTTGCGTAACTCCAACAAACCTCGATCGAAGTCCTCGCAGTCGATATTTCCTGAGGGTGACACCTTAAGGATCAGGTGTTTCACAGTCTTAACTGCGGCTTCAGCATGTCCATTCGCCTGGGGGTAGTGGGGCGAGGTCACGACATGACGGACTCCCCAACGGTCCATGAAGTCCCGGAACTCGTGGCTGGTGAACTGGGGTCCTCCATCAGTCCTGAGACGGAGGGGAACACCAACTTCTCTGAAGTAATGCCTGAAATTCCGGATGGTAGCAGTAGCCGTTGTATCACTACCACAGGGGACGACAACAGGCCATCCAGACAGTCGGTCGGCAATGACGAGGAAGGACTTCCCTGCAACTGCAAAGAAATCGGCCGACACAGACTCGAAGGGTCTTGAAGGGTTGTCGTCGCACATTAAAGGTTCCTGTTGCTGGCTAGGTTGCAGAATCTGGCACGGTTCACAGGCACGGACGGTACTTGCAATGTCCGCGTCGATTCCGGGCCAAAATACAGTCTGCTTCGCCCGTCGCTTGGTGGCCTCCACTCCTCGATGGCTGTCGTGAAGGCGGGTCAAGGTACGGCGGCGTAGGGCAGCAGGAATAACTACTCGTGGACCATACAAGACGAGGTCTCCGTCACAATAGAGGTCCTCGCGTATTTTCCAGTACGGGAGTAGCGATTCATGAAGGTCGTATCGGTTAGATGGAAATCCCTGAGACACACAGTCGACGAGCCGGATG